CCCCCCCCCCCCCACCAGCGGGGGATGGGGAGGACAATTTCTGTTTGAGATTTAGGAATTTCTACTGCCAAAGGGATTTTAATGTTAGTTCAGCCCAACTGTCCACCAGTCTGCAGTGCAGGAAAAAGGGACGGGCTGTTTGCATGTGGCAAGATCTGCCCAGCTCCGGGAAGATGGAGTTTGCGGAGGCTCACCGAGGCCATTTTTCCATCGTCAGCTGGGGAACTTTTTCCGCCCATGGAAGTGCAGCAGAAAGGCATTGAGGCCACTAGGCCTTCAGAAGTGGCTGCCATTTTGAAGATAAGAGTCAAATGGCCTGTAAACTAAGATTAATTGCTGTTTTTGGATTTCAGGTTGATGCTGGCCCAGGATGGATCAGACCTGTGAACTACCTAGAAGAAATTGTCTGCTGCCCTTTTCCAATCCAGTGAATTTAGATGCCCCTGAAGACAAGGACAGCCCTTTCGGTAATGGTCAATCCAATTTTTCTGAGCCACTTAATGGGTGTACTATGCAGTTATCGACTGCCAGTGGAACATCCCAAAATGCTTATGGACAAGATTCTCCATCTTGTTACATTCCACTGCGGAGACTACAGGATTTGGCCTCCATGATCAATGTAGAGTATTTAAATGGGTCTGCTGATGGATCAGAATCCTTTCAAGACCCTGAAAAAAGTGATTCAAGAGCTCAGTCGCCAGTTGTTTGCACTTCCTTGAGTCCTGGTGGTCCAACAGCACTTGCTATGAAACAGGAACCCTCTTGTAATAACTCCCCTGAACTCCAGGTAAAAGTAACAAAGACTATCAAGAATGGCTTTCTGCACTTTGAGAATTTTACTTGTGTGGACGATGCAGATGTAGATTCTGAAATGGACCCAGAACAGCCAGTCACAGAGGATGAGAGTATAGAGGAGATCTTTGAGGAAACTCAGACCAATGCCACCTGCAATTATGAGCCTAAATCAGAGAATGGTGTAGACGTGGCCATGGGAAATGAACAAGACAGCACATCAGAGAGTAGAAATGGTGCAGTCAAATCGCCATTCTTGCCATTAGCTCCTCAAACTGAAACACAGAAAAATAAGCAAAGAAATGAAGTGGACGGCAGCAATGAAAAAGCAGCCCTTCTCCCAGCCCCCTTTTCACTAGGAGATACAAACGTTACCATAGAAGAGCAATTAAATTCAATAAATTTATCTTTTCAGGATGATCCAGATTCCAGTACCAGTACATTAGGAAACATGCTAGAATTACCTGGAACTTCATCATCATCTACTTCACAGGAATTGCCATTTGTAAGCAGTTTTTGGTACAACTTAAATATATACATAAGTGTATATATACAGGCAACTTAAAGGGAAACATAACTGATTGGTTTTTGGTTGTTTATCAGTTCACAGCTGAGTGCCTATTGCTAATGATAGGCTTTTTGGGGAGATTTTACTCTGATTTTTAAATTTATCTCTGTTGTATGATTTTTTTTCCCTCAGATTTTTCCAGTTAACTCTCAGTTGAGGACTGGCTAAGAGTTAAAACTTTTAAGGGCCTTTAATTGAGTTCAGATTTCATTTTTCAAGATGGAGCATACATTTGTTTAGTTTTACTTAGTTATTTTTTAAATGTTTTGGCGTACTGGTATCATGAGTGCAGGTGAACCAGTTAGTTTCCTGGAGTTCTTTTTTTACGTAAGGACTGGTGTGTTTTTTTAGTTGATGGGGTGATCCTTGCTTCACATTGAAGTGCATTTTGGGTACAAATTGAAAGTAGCTAAGATGAGAAGACCTTCTTGGACATCAGTCAAAATTTAAATTAGGCCAGTTTTTCTGAACTACCTGTTGTGAAGGTATAGTATCCTATTGCTGTAGGTAACTGCCACCATCAGAGTAGACTCTTCAACTTAGGTTTTAATTTTGAAGTGTTTGTGTGTTGTGGTATGTGTAAGTGTATAGAAACGGAAGAAAATCTACTTTGAGTTGTTATTTAGTAGTGCTGTGTATTGTTGTTAATGAGTGGTAAATGATAAAGTTCTTTTTTATTTGATCTTATACAGAATTTCTTGGACTGTCCATAGTTAGAGGAATGCTCAGTTCTCTTAGCCTCAGTTTCATCACCTTTAAAATCAAACTTCTTGGTTGTTAAAAAATTTTTCTCAGCTTTAAATATTTCATTCTGATTTTGTTTCTCCCCAGATGTATTGTTATGGTCACCTGCAGTGTCACCACGGAGGATCTCCTTACTTCCATGCCTCTGCAATCTATATAAAAATTTAATCAGAAAAAAAATTGTATGTGGTGACTGTTTTGAGTGCATTAAACATTCACTTTACCATATAGCCTTGATATTCTTTAAAGTCACAGAGAATGTGGGTGTGTTGCTTTTGTTTGTTGATTCATGTTTTAAATATGCTTTAGTACTCCTTGGTTTAAGTTGGCAGTTGCACATTTTAAAAATTTGTTTTGGTAGTCACTTTGAGTCTGTATTGTCCTTGGTATTTTTTAGGGTGGATAAGTTGTGTTGGTGACCTATTGGCAGCTTAGACAAACTCTTTCTTGGGTTCACATGGAAATTTTTTTACATATATAGTGATGCCCTTGTGTTTACATAAAATCTTGCATTTGACAGTGGAGATGTTTCTCTAGAAGCATATATATAATGACACATAAATCTGTTTCTTGTCAAAGAGATGTCATTGGAATATTGGCTCTATTATAAACAATTGAAAATCTTGGAGCCTATAGATAGTATGTTATGTATCTAAAATGGGAGTTAGCAAAATTGTGTATAAATAGAAAATTTTTTTTTCTGGCAGAAAGTATAAATTGCTTAAAGACTTTATGGGCTTGAAGAGGCGAGTAACCAATTGTAGGCCTTTGGTTTAAGGTCGTGGATGCAATGTATTGCTTTGATTTTTGCCTTTGATATTTTTTAGCTGAAGATTTGAAATAGTGAAGTCAGTGTTAGAGTGCAAATTTAGCTGAATAACATAGTTTGGGAAAGGTGTAATTAAAAATAATTCTATATGGCTACACACTTAATATATACAGATTACTGCACAGTTGATTCATTGCAGCAAGTATAGAGCACTTACTTACTCTGCATTAGATTCTATGCCTAGGGCTGGAAATTTTAGAAAATCATTAGCAAATGCTGTTGGTATTTTTTGTTATGTGATACTTTGATAGAGTAAGATGCTCTTGGTGAGAGTAATATAGTTATTAGGATTGTAAATTCCCTTTATAGAGTTAGAGAAAGGCACATGATTCAAAATCATACTGTCTTATTTTGTATGTCTCGCTATAAGCAGACTGTTTGCCCTTTGCCATAAATAAGCAGCCTCTTCAGTTTATCCTCTGCTTTTCAGTTATTTTATCTGAATATAGCGATGTGAATAATGATTGTCATTATAGTTAATAATCCTGACTTGGTGCTTTTATATTTAATTGGGTTGACACCTTCTAATTCCTGCCAGTGAATGTATGCAGTGTATAGTGCTTAATAATATGTAGGTACTTGATAAAATACTGAAGGAAAGTTGGTCCCAGAGCTAAGTTTAAACAGGCAATAATTTACAACTTATTAAGTGCTTTGGTCTGTATTGTCTCATTGGATCTTCATAGCTTTGTAGTGAAAGATGTCATAAAAGACAGGTCATCCTTCAAGGCACTTGAGATTATTAGAGACAAAACTAAAACCCTTGAAATCCTAGAACTATCTCAGTACTCTTGGTTTTCTGTAGTGACTTCCGAAGGTCTCTGACACTCTTGGCTGGGCCTGGTTTACTCACTAGGCTGTTTGTAGCAGTTTGTTTTCTACTCTTCCCTTAGATGTTTTATGGAGAATTTATATTGTGGTGGTATTCATGAATTTAGGGATACTCAAAATTCTTAGGATGTAGCTAGCTAGCTCTAGGATCGTCTGATGTACATATTGTACTTTTAATCTAAAGAAGGTGACTAAAAATGAATCCACTTACAGTGGGAACTAAAATTTCATAATAAGGAGAAAAGAGTTTACTTAGGATTTTATATCGAAAAATTAAAATGAAGAAATATGAAAATAAACTTTTTAAACCTTTATCAAAACTTTGGTTGTGATCGCAACTATTTGTTATAATAAGGCAAGAATCAAATAGAGTAAAAAAAATTTTGTCCAGGGGCACCTGGGTGGCTCAGTTGAACGGCTGACTTTTAATCTTGCCTCAGGTCATGGATCTCAAGGTTTGTGGGATCAAGCCCTGTGTGGGGCTCTGTGCTGGTAGCGTGGAGCCTGCTTGGAAATCTCTCCGTCTCTGCTCCTCCTCCTTTTTCTTTCTCTCTCTCAAAATAAATAATCATTAAAAAATTAAAAAAAAATTGTCCAGTGAAATTGTATAAGAGGGAGGTGACATACTTTATTTTGTTTCACTCTCTCATGATTATAATGAGGTTAAATTTTTGTAAAATAGTGAGGTAATCCGTTTTAGTAAGGTTCTCTTTTAAAAGTGTCCACAATAGGGGTGCCTGGGTGGCTCAGTCGGTTAAGCATCTGACTTTAGCTCAGGTCATGATCTCGTGGTTTGTGAGTTTAAGCCCCGCATCAGGCTCTCTGCTGACAGCTCAGAGCCTGGAGCCTGCTTCAGATTCTATGTCTCTGTGTCTCTCTGCCCCTCCTCTGCTCACACTCTGTGTCTGTCTCTCTCAAAAATAAATATTAAAAAAAAAAAAAAAGTCCACAATAGAAAATTTCAAGCATATACCAAAGAAGAGAGAATCATAGAAATGCTTGCATACTCAGTGGTAACTGCTATTTTACTGATCTTGTTTTATTTTCCCTCTGTTATGTCATTGACTTACATTGTTTTTAAGTTTATTTAAAGAGAGAAAGTGCATGCGTGATTGGCGGAGGGTCAGAGAGAGAGAGGGAGAGAAACAGAATCCGAGGCAGACTCCACAATGTCATTGAGGAGCCCATCGTCAGGTTTGAACTCAAAGACTGTGAGATCATGACCTGAGCCAAAACCAAGAGTTGGATGCTTAACCAGCTCAGTCACCCAGGTGCCCCAACATATCTTAATCCTTTGATGTTTATCATGTCACTTTTTGAAGTTTCTGTCCTATTATTGTTGTCAGTTGTCACTTGTTTACTGGTTGACCTAGATCATCTTTTCCATACCTGTAATCAGAGTGGTTTTTCTTTATTATTTACATTGATTTCAAGAAACACAGCATCTTTTTGCCAGATTTGTTTGCAGTTTTACCTTGTAATTGACTGGCACTGTAATAGTAGTTCATTATTAGTTGGAGATAGACACTATATTGTCCATAGGAAGATGTTTGAATAGAGGCTTCTTTTTGCGATTTAAAAATAGGTATTTTGGCGTTGTAACAATCCTATACAATCTTGGGGATTTACAAAGTACTCAAAAACCACCCACCTGTACTGAGTTCTATGCTGTGGATGTTTAAGTGGTTAAAGAGTTGAGTGGAGAGATGAATGAAACCTGGAGTAGTCAAGGCTTCAAGGAAGAAGTGGAACTTGAATTGGCTTTGGCTGGGTTGGGTTTGGTTGGGTTTAGAAGGCTGTTTTTGTCTTCTTAAGTTTATTTTGAGAGAGAGAACACAAGGAGGGGAGGGGCACAGAGAGGGGTGAGAGAATCTCAAGCAGGCTCTGCGCTGTCAGTGTGGGGCTCAAACCCACAAACAGATCATGACTTGAGCTGAAATCAGGAGTCTGGATGCCTAGCTGACTAAGCCACCCAGGTACCTCCTAGAAGGGTATTTTTCATGTAGAGAATTAAGTGAACATAGTATTTTCAGGAAGTATTTGTTGAAGATTGGTTGGGTAGGATAAGTGTAGTCTGGTAATAGGGCCTAAAAATTTGGACTGTGGCATTTGATGTTGAAGTGATAGGACTAGGAGCCAGCAAGGGATTTTAGCTGAGAAGTGATCTGATGAAATCTGTGTTTGAAAAACTTTGGCTGGGGGAGAATAGAGGCAACCTTAGGATGTCAGAGTCTGTTGCAATAGTAGTTAAAACTTAGACTTGGGGGCACCTGGGTGGCTCATTCGGTTAAGCGTCTGACTTTGGCTCAGGTCATGATCTCACGGTTCGTGAGTTTGAGCCCCCTGTTGGGCTGTGGGCTGACAGCTCAGAGTCTGGAGCCTGCTTCAGATTCTGTGTCTCCCTCTGTCTCTGCCCCTTCCCTGCTGATGGGC